GTTTTTCAGCTAATTCATCTTTCCTGTTATCAGCGTCCTGGTGTTTGATTGAATAATTTCTACCGATAATTAGGCTTTAAAGTAATCCACAGATAGCTTCCTTCATGCTGGATCTCAACTGGACAAAACTATAGAGTCTGAACCGTGCTCAAGAGAAAGGCTTAGTAGACGTGGGAATCCACTGAGAATCTACCCCGACTTAATCTGCCAATTGCTATTTGAAAAGAGGAGTAAATAACAGCAACTAAATTCTGCTTGAACCCCCACCAACCAACCACACAACCACAAAAGCTTATTTGTGAAGTCAGGTGTTTCAGGACCCAAGTTCCGAGATGCTGTAGGAATATGTTTTGCCCACAGACTATAGTCACACCACCTGGAAAGTGCCTTGAGACGTCTCGTTATAAGGTGTGATAGTAATAATTGTTGCATTTGATATAGAGCCTTATCACGTCTTCGAGATGTCTCAAAGCACAAATGCAAGGATTAAATGTAAATTGCTGTTAATTTCATCCTTCGGATGAGACGTTAAAAGCCAAAGTCCTATCTGCCTATTCAGATGGATGTTAAATGTTACCAGTGGTAATATTGATCCAGTGGTGTGTGTGATGAATGCCTTGGTGGCACCTTGATTGACAGCTGTCACTTGGTTTATTTGGAGTACTTGGTCGCTCCACACCATACATTTGCAATATTGAGCAGGAAATAATGAGTGGAATGGGGTAAGTAGTTACATTTTTTTATCTAATGAAGACATTCTGCGTAGGCCCTTTTACTAAGATTATTACTATATTTGAAGTCTATGTGCACTGGAGATTTGAAATTAATTTTTGACTTGACTAATGTATTCGAAATGATTCATACAAGTCTTATCTATTTTCCAGCACAGACTAATCGCCCGCACTCAAACATTTAAATAGTGCTAATTATATTCAAATTAATACTACACTAACACTAAATTTCACTATAAAAATGAACAGGAATTTCAATAAGACCGCTGAGGACTTCAGCACTGTGGATAATATTTTCATTTGCCAAGAGTTTCGTTAATTCATAACTTTCAAGATGCGTCTCTTAAAATGAAGTGAGGTGTACTTACATTGATTAGTTTGCTTTTAAGCACACTTGCACACTTACCATCTTAAATGCTCACAGGAAAGCAAGGAAGTTCTTGCGAAATTAATTAACAACATTTTCTTAAAAGGCAGTATTACCCAGCTCCTTCGCAATTCACATCTGAAAGATTACTTTAAATTCACTTTCATTCTCGACCTGGGTTTCTGCATTTAGCTACAGTCTGATCTCCTTTTCTTGGAATGCACTTCATTTTGCGCCTGTGAAAATTAATTTTGATTGCCCGCTTCCAAGGGAAGGGACATCTCTCTGGTAAAGTGTGCATTAATTACTATCATTAATTATCTCTGCCCACTGATGTTACCGTGCCTGCAGTTTGAATACCGCAGACACAGGAAATGTTGCTTAAAACCAATCTAATAGGGATTAAGCAAATATTTAACATTCTTTTTCCCCCTATTTCTACGTTCGTCTTAAACCTCACTTAAGTTTTTCTTCCTTTCTCCCCCACATTGTATGATTGTGTCCCAGAATAATTTCCCTCCGTCTCTCCCCCTCTCTTCCTGTGTAGAAGCTTTAAGCACTCTGACTGAGACCCCAATTTCGTGTGAAGGGCGCAATATAAACCGTTGTAGGAAATAAACCGCCTCAACTTAATCTAAGCTGTACTAATTTGTCAGACTATTAATATAATACTTTCATTTTTACATAGCACCTTATCATGCCTTCAAGACATCTCAAAAGCACTTCACAGAATATAAAGTAGAGTGACTGTATATTTTGTGGGGTAAACAACACCACCCTTAAAACAGTAACAATGCAGCAGTCCCAGGCTGTTTGCATGTTTGCAGATCACAGTTCTGAACTATATGGGATCCACTGAACACCTACATTTGTGAGATTCTCTAAACATTCAGAGAATTTCTTTTGGATTGGCGGAAACCCATCATCATGTTTGAGAGTATACAAACTAGACAAGTTTTGCATGTGTATGCCACCCACGCACTGATTGAGATTCACCCACAGATACACATATTCAAACCCGTTTTACAGTATATCCTAAGCACATTGAGAGACGCCTCAACAACATGATAAGGCGCTATGACAAATGCGAAGATTATGATGATTGAAATTTCTGTCTGGAATGGAAAGCGCACTCTTTTGTGTCCTGTCTCAAGTCAGGAGCTGAACTCTCCACTTGTCACAAAAACGGAACAAGTTGAAGATGGGCAAACCTAAAAAAAATTGCGTTTCAGTAAACCAACTTGCCAAAGCTCCCTTGTGTCCCCAAGTTTTATTTGGAGAAGTGGTGCATGGGATGTTTATTCAATAAACAAAAGTTGCCGTTATTGCCCAAACCAATGGATCACAATAAATTTAGGGAAACAACTTTTTTTCCCTTCTGAAGAGGATAAAACCAGGGCCTTGGGACGTCCTCCTGATGTGAAAGGCGCTATACAAATGTAATTTGTTATTGTTGTACACAAATCCGTTGTGCTTATAGAAATGAAGCAAGGTGAACTTGGCAAAGGCAATTCTATAAAATTCTTTGTCAAGGGTCTTGGGATATTAGAATAAAATGTAATGGTGAACTCTTGGATAAGCAATAATGATATGCACTGGTACAATATACACAAGGAATGGGAATGTCGATAGAATGACAATAACAATTGGGCCACATTCTTTAATATAGCAGCCTTTCATGTGCAAAATTTCAGTTTTGCCATTTGTTCACGACGGATGAAACGCAGACCATGTACAGCATAAACTGAAGCTCGTAGTTTCAGTAACACAAAGCTGTGTTGCCATTACAATACAGCGGAACTTTAAACGTAATAAAAGCACCATGGAACAGGATGATGCAAACTCCCTCCTCTAATTTCAGACTTTCAGTTCCAGATGGTCTGGTCATAATTTTTTTTATGGGGGGTGGGGGGTGGGGAGAGAAAAAAGGAAAGGAAAAATCAATCTGGGCCACTCTTACCATAGAATTCCTTCAAAAAAAATTGTTCACTCGATCCACGACTGTTTGTGGGACGCTGCTGTGCGCAATTGGCTGCCGCATTTTGCCCACAAAATATAGTCTATTCACTTTACAATACATTCTGTGAAGCGCTTTGAGATTTCTCGAAGATGTGATAAGGCGCCATATCAAATGCAAGGATTATTATTTTATTACTGGAATGGTCTGTGAGAAACTACCTTTGGGAGAAGATAGGAATCACGCCATCGGCTCGATCTCAATAATTAAGGTCCATGGAAGGGAAGCGGAAAAATATGGGTGATGGAAAATGTTCCTTTAGTTATTGATGATCACACTGCTCTTTACTGAAACTACAAATTAGTGAGTTTCAGAATTAAATATACAATACTGAAATGTTTGCCGTTTCAACTTCAACCAAAAACAAAAATTGGGAAAATCTTATGAAACAGAAAGAAACTAAAACCTCGACAACAGAACAGTACAACTTGAATGTGCTGCAGAAGAGTTGCTTTAATGACCATCTCAAGAGGATATTTTGCAATTGTTTTGAGGTCTCCTCAGCTCCTATAAATTTACAAACGCTAACTGCACCAAATCGAAACAACCCATTTTTGGGAAAAGCAGACTTCTAATAATAAATAAAATTTTTGAAAGACGCCCAATACAAAAATTCTGCTGAATCAAGTGATTTAATCCTTTCAGAAAAATAATAATTTCTGCAGGAAGATTATTCGAGAAACAAAAAGTTGAACTTACTGCCAAAACCAATTAAATGTAGAGTAATAATAATAGACTAGGGAAACAGTTTTTTTTTCCTCTGAAGAGGAAGTACACAAGGCATTTTCATATAAAATAGTATTTTATTTTACATTTCCAAAAAGAGAGAGTCTAGGCAGTTAAACAACTATTTTAAACTTTGTTTCCCAACTTCTGAACAGCAATAAATCAAAGGAGACAGTTGTAACTTGGGGGTCGGGGGTAACCTACAAACGAAGGGTTTTTCTTCTCGGGTAAGAAACAGTTGATACGAGTGTTTTGACAACGGTTTGAATTCAGGACCTGAAGTAACATTTTTTTTCTCTCTCTCTCTCTCTAGCTCTCCATTGAACAAGAAAACGTGTTCATCAATTCATTTTGTTTGCTAATCCATCTGTGAAAAATGTTAATATACATTTTTCATACATTCGACAACACAGAACCTCAGTATTTTAATCGGAAAACACATTTACACAGCCATAGCTCTTACGTATCTAACCTTAGTTGAGCTCGGAACGCTAGGAGCACAGACGAGAGGGCAAAGTCTAAACTGAACGGCTTCTTCCCACGTTTTTAAAATTTTGATTGACCCAAATGTGTGTGATTTCATTTTTTTCCCTTGAAAAACAGTTTTTTTGTTTATTATACAAGTGCTACTGAGACAGTTCGTTTTTTTTGTTTTACTGTTGCAAAAATGTGCACGCTTTCAGTCAGGTATACTTAAAAGACACTGACCGCTGTGCACATTCACTGGAAGGACAAGGAAGCCCATTCACATCAATGGCATCCATGGCCTGGGCGCCTTGTTTTTTTTTGTTTGTTTTTTTCTCTTTCTCTCCCTCTCTCTCTCTCTCTCTCTCTCCACTTTGGAGGATGTCCTCTTGACACTAGATGAATGCCCCGTCTATTTTCCTTGTGCTGGGCAGAAGCTGGCTTCGAGTTCACGGAAATGTAGATGGAAGTAGTTCAAGTTAAAACAGCTACTTTTTTTTTCTCTCTCTCTCTCTCTCTCTCTCTCCCCCACACACAACAATGAAAGCTCCTGTGCCAACATCTTTTAAAAAAAAATCTGTTTTTTTTGGTTAAAAAAAACAGCGGGAGTCCGTTCAGCCAAGTCTAGATGGGCGGGCGGGGTGGGGGGAGGGAGGGAACGGGTGGGTGGGTGGGCAGGGGGACAAGGGTGGGTGGGGGCATGAGACAATGCGGCAAAAAAGTTGTGTTTTTTTTTCTCCCCAAAGTGCTTAGTGCAGAAAGGTCGTTAGCGCACCAAGCACGGTCTTTCCCCACAGTGGAGGCGCGTCAGAAAGCTTCATAAATTGCCTTGTGCAACGTTGGTGATCAGGTCAGTGCTGTTAAAAATAAAATGCGCAGTTTGCTGGACGTCGGCCGATCTAGGACTGCTTGAGCCGCTTGCGGGGAGGACCGAGGAAGGGGCACTGGGCTGATGCCAGGGATCTGTACGCTTCAGCCACCAGGTGAGGGTGAGAGAGCACCATAGATTTCCAGCCAGAAGTCTCCATTACGTCAGATGCGTGACTGTAGAGATGAAAAGGAGAGAGGGGGAGGGAAGGAAATAAAGATGTAAAATTATTCCAACAGTTAATGACTTCTCTTTTCTGCATTTTGCGTGGGGATTCCTCCCCCCACAAGGTCCTTCTGTAAAACCCACGAGAGTGACAACATCAAACAAAATAATGCCTTGCCACGCAGCGATGAAAGACGATTTGCTCTATACCCGAATAAGGCTTGTGTGTTGAAGTATTGTTGTAAGTGAGGTTCGTAAAACGGGTGCAAGTGTCAAAAACTTGTCCCCAATTTCTGTGCTCAAGAACACATACCTCCCAACCTTCAAGTGTCCTGTAATGCTCAATTTTAGAGATTGCCAGATCAGTTACCAGATGATAAATGGGACGTCAGGATATCTTTCATGTCCACGAGTCATATCAGCTCCCCAATTCCATTTCCATTCCAAATCTGCAGTGCTAAAACATGCAGGACTTCCCACAATTAAGGGAGAAACATTCATTCCTTTCCTAGTGTTTTGGAACTGTAGACGTCATTTTTTTTAAAACTATATTGTACTCTGGTCCAAGTGTTGGCTTAATTTACAGCACGTGAAAGGCATGAATCCCAGGACTTTGTCTGCAAGCTAAGGGTTTGACCTTTCCTTTTTCTCTCAGTCCAGTCTTCTGTTTGGCAGTTAGCAGTCAGTTCAGGGTAAGCAAATTGCCATTTGGAAACGAAACCATAAAGCTGTGAATGCTGGGCCAAAAAGTCCTCACATGTTGAAAACGAGTCCAAATGGTCCTGCGACAATCCATAAAATTAGGGACAGTGCCAAGGGTATCAAGCACAACAGCAATACTTTTGCCACCTACATAAAACTCATAGTTGCTTACATTTCCATATGTACTCAACATCAATAAACCACTGACAGGCAGCCATCAAGTTGCCCTTCACCCTCTATCAATGTCAGATTTTAGTAAAAAAAAGAATTCTGCGAATTAGTAAACAGGGCCGAAAACAAATTAATCTTTTATATAGGAGCGAGGTTTGTACAAAGCATCTTCCCAGGGAAAATAAAATCCACTCCCTTGAGATGCTTCCTGCTCCTCTATGCAGATTGCAAATGTTTTCGAAAAGATCAGTGTCACAGGCATTTCCAGCAGCTCTCTCCAACAGGGAACAGCTCTCAAATGTATCGTGTTCTGTCCTCATGCAAATCACTGTCTGATAACTACCAAAAAGGAAAACTAAAACAACTTATACTAATGATTCGAGGGCTCTGCTTGTATACCATTCACTTTATTTCAAAGGAGGGAATTTATGAGGGGAGTTTGGACAATTTTCGGGCGGGCGGGTTTCTGTCCAACACCATTCGATTAGCCTCCATTTTGCGTGTGTTTGTGTGGGTGGGGAGGGGAGTGGTGGTGGGTTAAGGAGAAGAAATTAAAGTCTCCCACTCTATGTTCTTTCTCCTGCAACCTCTACCGCCTGGGGAGTTTTCCTTTTCTTTCCAGCTCAACCACCTTGTGGCGGACAGCTGGCTGCCCTCTCCTTCTATCTTCTAAGCTGAGATCAAAGTGTTTCGAGCGGGTAGAGAAGAAAACATAAAAAGAACGTTAAAATGGTTTGAAGAAATTCGAATCAAACTAAAGCAGCAATAAAAAAAACGTTAGCAACAGCTTGGAACAACTTCAGATTAAGACACAACGCCTACTAAAAAAAAGAAGAAAAATATGCATTCTTAAATGTTTAAATAAAATATTGCGACCTTACTTTCTGGTGGCAGCATCAAGACAGGGGAAGCAACAGACCAAAAAAAACTCCAATAATCAAGAAAAAAACACGCTTCCTCAGCAGGAGAACATACCGCAATAAACCCAGAAATTACTAATACAACTGATTCGAAAAGAAAACGCTCCAGGCTATAAAAATGCAGAGTTAGTGTTATGGATTTTTTTTATATAATAAACTGGTCGAAGAGACTGAAATCTTCATTTTACATTTCTACTCAATCTTATATTTCCTCAGGGAAGTCAGCCGATGTCCTGAATTTCTTCCTATTTAATTCTATCTGTACCTTTCAATTGAAGATGAATATTAATGAGTGTACCAACATCTCTCTGGTGATGATGAATACTTCTATCGAGCATACTCGCTCACTCTTGTCTTTTTTCTCGGATAGAGATACTCTGATCCCACGCAAGTCAGACATTACTAGCACTGAATTAGTAATAATCCTTGCATTTGATATAGTGCCTTATCACGTCTTTGATACGTCTCAAAGCGCTTCACAGGATACACTGTAAAGTGGGTTGGCTGTATATTTTGTGAGCGAAACGTGGCAGTCAGTTGCGGACAGCAGTGTCGCAATTTTTTAAAAAAGGAAATGCGATCCACCAAATTGACTAACCATCGGGTTCCTACTTACTATAGGTAATCAGAGGCTTGTGGAGTAAGGAAACTTGCCCAACATTTCGCCCTGCCCCGGAATTGAACCGAGGTCTCTTGCTTGCAAGGCAAGCGCACTAACCACTGAGCTACTGGACTCCATTGTAAATGAGGTGCTCGGGAACCAGACTGAATCCTCTCAATCGCAGACATGACTGTAGCAGCCCATCTTGGAGGGTCAGAACAGCCATCCCACAAAATCCTGGTGGATAACTCTTTAATCCTGTGGAGTCCTGTAGCTCAGTGGTTAGAGCACTCGCTTTGCAAGTGAGAGACCTGAGTTCAATTCCAGGCCTTGCGAAACCTTGGGGAAGTTTCCTTACTCCACACAGAGCCTAATAATAATCCCTCCAAAACCAAAAACAATAATAAATTGGTCATTTTCAATCTCCGACTGTTTGTGGGACATTGCTGTGTGCAATTGGCTGCCGCGTTCGCCCACAAATATACAGTCAATTCACTTTACAGTGTGTTCTGTGAAGCGCTTTGGGACGTCCTCCCGACGTGCAAAGCGCTATATCAAATGCAAGGATTATTATTATTATTATTATAATCAAGAAAAAAGCACCTAAGATCTTCCCCTGGACTTAGCTTCTCTTTTAAATAACCTTACAGCTCAAGACTTTTATTCTCGGGAGTTTGGGGAATATTATAACACATTAGGGTTAGGATAAACTCTAATGTACTTTCCTTCCAATCTATGGTTGGTTACGGGAAATGCCAGTGTAGCATTTTTGAACCAGCCAACAAACTCTATTTTTCTGATCGAAGGAAAAAGTCTCCATAAATTGCCCCTGTTTCAGCTCAGTACAATCCATGGGAAACTAACAGCAGACTACAGCATGTTTTGGCAATCTAATCACTCTTAGCTTTATAGATTGGCTCAATATTTTCTGAATTTGTTTGCATTGAACGGCAGGAATAATCAAACACGGTTATATATTCGTAGAAAGCCTGAGTCGACAGCAACATTTCCAGAAAAGAACACGTTAATGTTGTCTTAACTAAATTAATTCACGGTCTGAATGTGTTGACAAAGTTTTGGATCATTATGGTAGATTCTGCTGCAGTCCAAGATGAAATGTTGCTCTTTCTTAACTTACTTGACCCAATGGGAACGTACTGTTTTTCATTTCAACTCTACTTTAAAAGTCTAGTATTTCAAACACCCCACAAAAAAGTCATCCCAAATGCAGCTTTTGATATTTGAAGTGCAAAATGAAGGCAAATGTTTACTGTACAGCAAGGAAACAGGCGATTCAACCCAACCGATTTGTGTCGATGCTATTATCGACGTTATATTCCACACACATCTCCAGCCACTCCTTATATCCTCCCAAACCCTTCTGTTCCCTTCTCCCCCATGTGTATATCTAGCTTCCTCTTAAATGCATCTCTACTCTCTGCTTATAAACTAAAAGTTTTGCTTAAAACTAAATGTTTTCTTGGCTTTGAGCAGCTCTTGATTTCCCCTCGGGCCTGTCAAAAGCTCACACAACCAATCAATGCAGGAGCTCTGGCAACAACACGTCAGGAGGATGTCCCAAGTCAGGGATCCACACCCGAGCTGGTGGTTGGGATCAGGAGGGGTGGAGGGCGGGGAGGGTAGGGGTAGGAGTGTGACTGAAGGCAGGATCGAAGAGGAGGGTCTTGAGACGGGACATGAAGGAGAAAAGGGAGGGGGCGAGGCGGAGGGACGTGGGTTCCAGAGGATGGGGGCAGAAAGGCTGAATGACTGCCCACCCATGAAAGAAAAAAAAATTTTTTTTGCAAGAGAAGGAGGGTGGCAGGAGCCGTGTTAAAGTGATAATCTCTTGCTATTGGGGCAGCTTTAGTTTATACAACTACTTTTCCTCTACTTCTCTTCTCCTTCTGCAGGCTAGTTCCAACTTTCTGAGTGCCATGCATCATTTGGGATGAAAAGGTACATTTTAGCTTATGACATCAAGTCTAATAGCAATGCATAAAATTAATAATACCACTTCCGTAACGTTGTAAAACTGGTGAACAAATTGCAGTTCTAATTGAATAGTTTTACTAAATATTCGATTGGTGGAACAACTTTTAATATTGGGGTGTTATTTCATACCCAAACTATAAAAGAATATAGCAGACACTTAAAATGAAATGCTGGTCAATTGTTTCCCTCCGCCCCCATCTACATTTTCTATTAATATACTTACTTCCATAACCATTTCTCTTTTTCGGTAGCCAGAATTTTCTCAACACAAAGGTTTCTAAACCTTTGCAGGCAAACCTTGAAACCTTCTCACAAGTTCGGGACACCACAGCATATATTTGGGTATATTTGGGGTTTGGGTAGAAAGAAAGCGGGGTGCAAGAAGAGAGGTGGAGCAGTATATAAAATATATTTATCACCAGATTATACCATTTTGAAGAAAATATTCATTTCAGAGGAACCGGATTTCCGTCAATACCTTCTTATTTTGTTAAAGTCGTTTATTAATTGTTCATTTCGAAAAATCCATAAACTCAAACGCAGCTGTTTTACAGGTGGTTCCATTGATGGTTTGTGCCCTCTTTTACAAAGAGACAGTAGTAAAGGCTGCTTTATTCTACATCGGAAATCCTTCAATGTCCCATGGCTAATCTCAAGAGGGTCTGTTATATCAGAGTAACATTTCAGTTTTCTGACCAGCAATCCGGCATATTTTCCTAGCAAAACGTTAGAGGGCGAGTTTTCCGGAGTTTCGGGGCAAAGTGGCTGAATGCGCGACCTCCAATGGCAGAGCGGGCAAGCAGGAGGCTTTTGCCAGTCGAGTGGAGGCGCCGGGTGGTGGATTAGGTGGTAGATTTACCACTCAATCCTCCTCCACTGCCTCTCCTCCCACCTCAGCCTTCAAGGTTCTGTCGTTAACTGGTTCAGGTCCCTTCTTTCACACCGCCTCCATTTCGTCGCGGCAAACGGCTTCTCCTCCACTGTCTCGTGCTGTGTGCCTCGGGGCTCTGTCCTCGGTCCCCTCCTCTTCACCCTCTACATGCTCCCCCTTGGTGACGTCATCCGCAGACATGGGGTAAATTTCCACATGTATGCGGATGACACCCAACTCTATCTCTCTGCCTCCATCCTGAACACCAGGACTACTGACGTCTTGACCGACTGCCTGTCCGACATCAAGTCCTGGATGAGGGCTAACTTTCTCCAACTCAACATCAGCAAGATCGAGGCCCTGCTGATTGGTTCGCGCCAGCGCCTCCGCACCTCAGGTGCTGGCAGCATCAGCCTCCATGGTTGCACACTCAACCTCACTAAGCCAGTCAGGAACCTGGGTGTCTCATTTGACCCTGAACGGTCCTTTCTCCCCCACATCCACGTCATAACTGATACTGCCTACCACCACCTTCGCAACATTGCCAGCCTCACCCCTCAGGCTGCCAATACCATCACCCACGCATTCGTCACATCAAGGCTTGATTACGGGAACTCCCTCCTCATCGGCCTTCCCGACTCTTCCCTTCACAAGCTGCAGATCATCCAAAACTCTCACGCACCAGGCTCCGGAACCCCATCACTCCCACCCTCGCCCGACTCCACTGGCTCCACATCCCCCAGAGGATCGAGTTCAAGATCTTCGTCCTCACCTTTAAGACCATCCATGGCCTTGCCCCCTCCTACCTCTCTGACCTGCTGATTCCCTACCAACCTGCCCGCTCCCTCCGTTCATCAGGCTCTGGCCTGCTCCATATCTCCCGCCCTATCATCGGTGGCCTGGCTTTTAGCCTCTCTGCCCCCACACTCTGGAACTCCATCACACGGTCCCTTCACCTTGCTTCCTCTCTTAACTTCTTCAAAATCGGTCTCAAGGCCCTTCTCTTCGACTGTACCTTTGGTCTCCCTCCCACCTCTCTGTCTTCCCTCACTCCTACACCAACCCTCCCCCATGCTCGGACCCTGACATCTGACTGTTCAGCGCTTTGGGACGTCCTCCCGATGTGAAAGGCGCTCTATAAATGTCATTTTGTTGTTGTTGTAGATTTAGACCTTTAAAACCCTGCAGAGAATGGACTTTCATCCCATCATTTGTCCTGAATTAAAACCCTAACCAGATTGAAGCTAATCCCCTGAAACACACTGTGCTTATGCTTCATTTTTTTTAAAAAAGATACTCACTAGTTAATGAAGTCTACCGCTTGTGTTTTGAGTTGATCCGCACTGTGTAGATCTGCCAGGATTAGAATTTCTGCTGCATTTTCCACAGAAAGATTGCTACATAGAGCATCCTCGCACATCACCTTCAAGCGCTCCAAAGCATACTGAAACGGAACAAGTGGTTTGGACAAATCGATTAAACAGGTTATCACCACTAAAATCGAACAAATATCCTTAGGTGTGTAAACAGCTTTAATTTTAAGTTCAAACACATGCGTATTCCATCGACAACACAAAAGCTGAATATATCTGTGCACGATCTTCATGGGTTTCGTCATTTCAATACTAATTCATCTGCAGTTTTGAAAATATATAGAAGAATATAGGCATGTTTGTGCAAAAGCAACCGTAAGACCACAGAGGCAAAATAAAAGATGATGTCCAACACATTTGGCTACCCTTTGACCTCCATCACTAGAATGAAAAAGAGTAGGAATGGCAGCAAAATATTCAACGATAGTCAACATACAATACAAAATTTACATTGGTACAGTGCCGTTCATTTCGGGACGCTGCTGTGCCCAATTGGCTGCTGCGTTTCGCCAACAAAATATACAGTCAATTCACATTATAGTACATTCTGTGTAGCGCTTTGAGAAGTCTTCAAGATGTGATAAGGCGCTATATCAAATGCAAGGATTATTATTATTATTATCCCAAGGCGCTTACAATACCGGCTTTGCACATAAAATGGGTTGGGATCCAAAGGGGGCAAGGAGGGGAAGGATGACCAAAAGTGCGGTCAAAGAGCTAGATCTTGAGATGGACCTTAGCCTAGCACCATAAAAGCTGCTAATACATTAATTGAATTTATACGCCAATGGATTGTTTCCCTCCAAATATGCCCGCAAAATACTTTTAATCTCGTTGTAACCGACGATCAAATACGAAACAGAATATGAAACAATCAAACGTGGATTCCAAATCCTGTGGAAAATGTGAAGCAACATTCAGATAGCAGCTGAGATGAATTACAGCCACCTTGTGTTACATATGCAGGGCTCAAGACTGTCAGCAGGGAAGTAGAATTCTAATCTGAACGGTAAGCAATCTCAAACTCCATTAATGTACAGTACCACTAGGTTTGCAGAACACAATAGACTGCACTGTTGGTACTTGCTGAGACAGGTAATGTTCTGTAATGCTAACAATCACACTGTTCAGTACGCACCTTTACAAGATTACTCGACACGTTCACTCTTTCTGACCCAGATAAAATGATGACGTTCTCGTTACTAACAAGCGTTTTCACACGATTCCATTAACACCCCAAGAACTCCCGAAGTCTTCTCTGCTTACGTTTCATGCACTCTTCTTAAGAAGAGTACCCTTCTCTCACATTCATTTCTTTACACTTCACCAGAAATTGCTACCAGGTCAGGGTGAAACATTAAGCAAGCTTCCTTAATCCACACACACGCGCGCGCGCCTCTGTTTACCTAGCAGCACGTAGGAACCCGCTTGTTAGTTGATTGGCGGATCGCTTTCCCGGGGATAATAACCTCTGGCTCTATCTATCCAGCACCCGAAAAGGCAATGGAAATGTTTTAATCATATTTACTGCTGATGTGTTATTAAATATGGGAGCAGATGGTTTATTAATAAACTCCAAGAAATCTCAATCAGTACAGGAAGTGAGACAAACCAAATTCCTGCAACGCTTCAGTTAAAAAAAATAAACAATGCTAATTTAAATCCCAAAGCCCAAGCGAGATGTATTCAGCTTCTGACAGCAGCGGCTTAATTACTTTGAAAGAGAATTTAGCTCAGGTTATGAGTTGAATCAGCACTTAAGGGCTTAAGATTGTCGTTTTCTCTTTTTGAAAGCACAGAGGTGTGTGAGATTTGAAACAGAAAATGAGCTGATCTAAGAATTTGCAACAACGCAGCGTGCTTTTGCACTTTTTAGCAACTATACTTTTAAAATAAATACTAAATAATATGAGCTGTCCTTTCTCCCTCACATCCGCACTACAACTGGCACCGCCTTCCATCACCTCCGGAATATCGCCAGATTACGGCACTACCTCACCCCTCACGCTGCTGAAACCCTGGTTCACGCCTTTGTCACCTCAAGGCTGGACTATGGGAACTCTCTCCTCGCCGGCCTTCCCGCCACCTCCCTCCACAAGCTGCAGGTCATTCAGAACTCTGCAGCTCGTGTACTGTCCCGCACCAGGCTTCGGGACCACATCACTCCCACCCTCGCTCGCCTCCACTGGCTCCCCATCCCCCAGAGGATTGATTTCAAGATCCTCATCCTCACCTACAAGGCCATTCACGGCCTCGCTCCCTCCTACCTCTCTGACCTACTATCCCCCTACCTACCTGCCCGTACCCTCCGTTCCTCTGGCTCCGGTCTGCTCCACGTCCCCCGCCCCAACCGCCCTACTATCGGTGGTCGGGCCTTCAGCCTCTCAGCCCCGAGGCTCTGGAACTCCATCCCCCAGTGCCTTCGCCTTGCTTCCTCCCTTTCCTCCTTCAAGGCCGGTCTCAAAACCTTTCTCTTTGACCGTGCCTTCAGCTCCCCTCTCGACTCTCTTCCTCCTCCTCGCTCCCTCCCTTCCCTCCCCTCACCCTGACCATTTCCCCCTCCTCTCTCCCTCCCTTCCCTCCCCCCACCCTGACCATTTCCCCCCTGCTCGGGTCATGACCCAACTGTGCAGCGCCTTGGGACGTCCTCCTGACGTGAAAGGCGCTCTATAAATGGAATCTTGTTGTTGTTGTTGTTGTAATCCTTGCATTTGATTGTGGAGTCCTGTAGCTCAGTGGTTAGAGCACTCGCTTTGCAAGCGAGAGACCTGAGTTCAATTCCAGGCAGAGGGCGAAACCTTGGGCAAGTTTCCTTACTCCACACAGAGCCTAATAATAATCCCTCCAAAACCAAAAACAATAATAAATTGGTCATTTTCAATCTACGACTGTTTGTGGGACATTGCTGTATGTTTTGTGGGCGAAACACGGCAGCCAATTGTGCACAGCAGTGTCCCAATAATAAGTGTAAATAATGGTCAACAATGGTACAGAATCTTTCCCCGTATCCGCCATCTTACCTTGTCAGCAGCTGCAAGTAAGTCATCTGCCATTTTGTCAAGATTTGGAGCCTTTCCTGTATAGATGAAGAACATCATCTCCTTAAAAACTTCGGGCTCCACATCATTGATTTCCACTCGATTCTGTAGAAGATCAGATTTTTTTTTGAAAACGAAGAAGGGTGAAAGGGTGAAATGAAATTCCTCCAATGAGTCTATCTCAATGCATCTCGTTTTCTTTTATTTTCTACTGAGTTTACTTGCTGGAATGTGATTACAAGGGTGGTAGGCTTTCACCGCTCGCTCATTTAACCTGCTATTCTGCCCTCGAGACAAAGGAGTGAGTTCTATCCTCCTTGAGGACGGGAAGTGGTTGAGGACATTGCCCACTGGTAAGCATGGCTCAAGTTACCCAAATCTCTAATGGTAACATTTGGTGGGAATTTACTGTTGCAAAGTTGCAAAGTTCACTCATTTTCTAAGGTTTTGCATGCAGTAAAGTCCTGATAGCTCGACCCTGGCTTAACTTGTCACCACCCCGTAATGTTATCATGCTGTCGATATCCCGGCCACATTTATTTATGTCTTCATACATACACACACACTTTATATATATATATATATATATAGATATACATACACACACACATAACTCGCCACTCTGGATAACTCGCCACTGAGCCCTTTTCGCTTGTGGCGGCGAGTTATCTGTAAATAATGCACACTCTGAATTACATTCCATAGTATATTCTGATTCACACTGAGGATCTTAAGAGTTCTCTTTATTACGGTACATTTGTTCATTTAACCTGCACTACATTTCTTGAAGATACCACAGAATACAGCGCATATTTTAAGATCAGTTCCATTACCTTTTTGCTTTCTTCCATTTCATGCTCAAACATGGCACTGAAGACTGGGGAACGTGCTAAACATAAAAAGATTTTATTAATTTCAAAATCGGCCAACAGGACTTCACAATTATAATACATATGTTATGCCAATAGAACCTTTCCCCTGCACCTAGACTGTTAATAATATTGCTAAACAAACCAGGAGCAAAGAAGCCATATTCGGCCCAAATGTTAAAGACGAATTCAATCTGAACTATGAGAGATATATAATAATCCTTGCATTTGATATAGCATCTTATCACGTCTTTGAGATGTTTCAAATCGCTTCACAGAATACACTGTCAAGTGAATTGACTGTGTATTTTGTGGGCAAAATGCAGCAGTCAATTGCGTACAGCAATGTCCTGATGAAATGAAAGAGAGAGATTTCAGAATGGCCTCCACACATGCTTCCATTCTAGCTTTTTCTTAAATGAAGGCATCAATTTTTAAAAAGATTTTCACTTTCTATCAAAGCTGCTCTGATGGATATGCCAAGAGCCCATTTAATATGGGACATTGCACAGCAGTAATATACCATATGCACAGCCATCTCTGATTTATTCAATGGTCATTACTCAAGATAAAAGTAAACTCCTAATTGCAAACAATTTATATTTAATACACAGAGCATTTCTACATCCAAGCACCAATTAGTTTCAAATCATTTCAGCTATACGCAGGAGACCATGGTTAAAAGTGGATGCTTTCCACCTTGAGAGCAAACAGAGAGATCAGTTTTCCTTCATGATACGGCTTGCTGCTGCTTAAAACTATTAAATGGAAAATTTAGAACTCTGTATTTTTAAACTGAGTTTTCTTCTTCCAAATTGCATGGTGATATCTTCTGGCCACATCACGTTTCAGAAAAATGCATAAATTACAAAAGTCACCCTTCACTGATATACTTGCTCACTGCATGTTTCCCAGCAGTACCAAGTATCTGGTGATAAAAAAAAAGCAAACTCTTTCTTGCTCTTCAATAACTAAGGTCGGTGGAAAAAGTGCACTTTAAATCCCGTTTCTACCTTGTGGATGGAATAATTACAAACTGAACACTGTAAAAGTCTAAAACATTTAAATGTTTAGAAACGTAGGGGAACCCATTAAGTCTAAAGTCTCTGTGGGACAATCTCATCCCTTTACGGTCCTCAGATCCATCTGTCAACACCTTGAGCATAATAATCATCCCCACATTTGATAGTGCATAATCACATTGAGATTTAGTCTCAAAACACTTCACAGTTGTTTTTTTATTAAGTGCAGAGACTGCATTTGTAGACAAATGGAGCTGTCAATTTGTGCACAGCAATACTTCACTTGGTTCATGAACAACCAAGTGAACGACCAATTAACTGGAGGATTGTTGGAAGTTACACTCGGAGAAACTACCTTCTCTTCCTAAAAGGTCACAGGTTCTTTAACATCCACACGAACAAACAGATGAGAGCACAGTTTAACATCTCATCCAGAAGGATGGCACGTTTAACAATGCTGCGCTCCTCAATACTGGTCTTGAATGTCAACCTAGACCATGAGTTCAGTGTCTGCGACATGGGACTTGAACCCACTGCCTTCTGAACAAAAGACAAGTAGATGTGCTACAACTGAGCCAAGTTGTCACGCATAGCACTTTATGCCCTCTTTATACTGCATTTTTCACGCTAATTTGACACAAAGGATCAAACTAAAATCTCAGAATAAATTGGGGTTGAGTAACACGGCGATGGAGTTCATTGTACTGTAGAAAACCTCCTCAAAGGACCTTGAAATGGTGTTACCAAAGAAAGTAATTCAGAGTCAGTCTCAATGATGTTGAATAAATTGCCACTGGAAGTTTGTGGGCTGTCCATGTGTATCAAACCTCTTCCAGGAGCATAAATGAGACATTCATGGGATCATGGCGACTAAAATTTAAATAGTCTGTCTGGAAGAAAGTAAGAAAGTGTGTGCTGGTTTGTTTGTGAAAGAGAGAGGAAAAAAACAACGAGCATTCTTACAAATATACTCTCCAAATCAAGTAGAAAAAATAAACTAGTCCTGATAATTTACAAAGATATTACTGAGGCTTGATCTAAAAATTGTTCCACATGAAAGGCTTAAACTTTTCCGAATAGTTTATAACAATTTAATATTGTAGCTATTGCCAGCTCTCTATTGGACAGAAAATATTTAGAAGAACATACGCAGGTGCAGAAACCAATATAAATGCAGGAATGTTTTTTTGGCGGTGGGGACACGGAATAAAATCCATGAGCAATTTCAATTGGAAGTGACATTGATTTACATATTCTACCAACAATTCCTAGAGTGGAATTGATACCCAGAGTATGCTCCATGACAAACCATTAAGTGCAGCATTTATCTCATGAGCAGAATAACGTTGTGTAGCGCCTACTGAAGAGTTAAACGTCACATTATCAAAAGTGTTTTTATGCCATAAAGCAGGTTATATAAAGACTGCAAAGTCCAAGATACACTGAATACTGCTTTTCTTTTGCAAAGTACTGATATTCAGGTCAACACAGTTCCATTTTCTACCTTATCGCCCACAAAATATACAGTCAATTCACTTTACAGTATATGCTGTGAAGTGCTTTGAGACGTCTTGAAGACGTGATAAGGCACTATATCAAATTCAAGGATTAATATTATTGTTTAATTGTAAAATGTGGATTATGGTATAATATCTATATATAATACAGACCATAATTATACAGTTAAAATATCTGTGGGAGCTAGAATGTTCCAAACCTGCTAAGATTGCTTTGTGTGCTTGAAATTCCTTCCCTGCTACACAAAGGCAACAGTCTGTAAACCTGGAGTTCTCCCACAAGCCTCCAAGTTCATCTGCCAGCCGACATTCGGGAACTTTCACCATGTTCATGGTGTTCTGGCCGGAGATATTCACCGAGTCCTGGACCACACTAACCTACAGCAGTGAGAAAACACAAAACAGCAGCATTAAGCAAACGTGCATTCCATGCTTTTTACCCAGAGTTGTGCTGATTGACACATGGCTCTTACCCAAACAATATACACGTGAAAGTCTCATTGGCTTGGTTACTCACAAGCAAAGTCATGGGTTTTCCAATGCATGTCAGATAACTAACTGACTAACCAAAACAAGCATCAATACTGACAGAGTTTATCACCTAACTTTGTATAAAGCAGGTGTAGCCAGGCCGTGGAAATATAATGCAGGTTAGAAGGGTACCCTGGAAATCATTACAATGCATTTCCTAGTTTGATAAGCGATTGATTTGTTGAAATGCCAGCTTCCTTATCAATTCAAATACCAATCCACGAATTTGGCCCAAGGCTTGAAAGGCAACAATTGAAAAATTTATTCATGCTTGAAACAGCAATTCATAAATTAAAGGGATCGTATATTCTTTCATGGTCGCTTCAAATTAAAATTACTGAAACAGATTTCATTTAGTTCCCGCCACCACCCCAAGAAAAATTCTCTTTGTATAATCGTTTTTAAAGGTTCTCTGCACGTAAATACATTCACATGGTTTTGAAGCTTTTGTGTGCAATAAAGTCCACTCAAGATGGTGATGGTAACACCAAGACAACCTGGAACAGGAGGCAACTACATTTAGTTTGTGTTCAGGCATCTCTTGATAATAATAATAATCCTTGCATTTGAAATAGCGCCTGATCACGTCTTCCAGACGTCTCAAAGCGCTTCATAGTATATATTGTATATTTAGCTGGAGTTGGATTACAAGATCAGCCATGATTGAATGTCGGGGCAGGCTCGAAGGGCCGAATGGCCTACTCCTGCTTCTACATGGTATGTTAGTTATGTTATATTTTGTGGGCGAAACAGACAAGCTATTATACAAATATATAAATGCGCTGATGACTTTGAAGGAATGACTTCGAGACTTGCAAGTATGTAAAGCAATTCATCTTCCACCTTGAAAATGAAATTACAGGCTCATAACTACTGTGGAATACTCATCATTACCAAAAACGATTCATTAGATTGTGTGAAGCAATCTGTTTGCTGTGAAGCAAACAGCAATAATAATCCCTCCAAAACCCAAAACAATAATAAATTGGTCATTTTCAATCCACGACTGTTTGTGGGACATTGCTGTGCGCAATTGGCTGCCGCGTTCGCCCACAAATATGCAGTCAATTCACTTTACAGTATATTCTGTGAAGCACTTTGGGACGTCCTCCCGACGTGAAAAGCGCTATATCAAATGCAAGGATTATTATTATTATTGTGTAATTTGTGGTTCACTGTCAAGTTTTCTGGACAACTGAATATACCTAGCTAGCTATCACCCATAGCTAGTTAGGGAGTGATTAAACAATGCATCCACTGTAATGTGATTAATCATGTAAACTGGTAAGATTTCTATACAAAATAAAGCACTGGGTTCGAAGGACAAAAGTCAGCTGTGTCAGTTTTGTTTCAAGGATTTCAGGTAACAACAAACAAAACAATCCAACTGTGATCTCACCCCATGAGACAGAAATAGTTCACTAGAATTACTGAACTATCAAGAAGTTGGTTTGATTTCTTACTCCCCCACTAAACTAAATCAGCCAAACAAGAAAGAGGAATCCTTCTGGTCTGTGCCTTCAGTTCTTTGTCCAGAAACCTTAAGTTTATCATAAATTCCGTTTATAAAGGATAAGAAACCAGCACTGGAAAAAAGCACAGTGTCATTGGAACAGGCTGCAATTTGGTGAGGTATCAGCTGGCAGAAGACACTCCAGGAACTGTATCTAATTCTAAATCACTTTCACAAGCGAAGACTGGAGCAAGGACCAAAAACAAAGCACTTGCTCATCCTGGAGCTTTAGTTGTGTTTGTTTATTTTAGCCTGGGACGACTGTGCCATTAAAATGAAATACTTTTGTTTTGCCTCCTTTTGCATTTCACTGGTTTGGGTTTATACTGAAGAACGAATGACTAGCAGAAAATTACAAGGTGGTAATTTAAATCGAGCAACTATGCTAGACCACCTAAACCACAAGAGGAAAGCACAACTGTCAGCTGGACGTATAAACAAATTGTTGAGGACATCAGTTGCAAAAGCCTGCAAATCAGGTTAAAAGAACATACTAGCCACAATAACTCACTAAAAACACAATAGGCCAACTAACAGGTGAAAGTGTATGAAGCAATACTGAAATAAGACAAGGTATTCTAGCTTCTATTGATACCATTTTGTTTTTTTAAATAAAAAAATCAGGTTAAAAAAATACAGATGTTGCTAAAATATGCACCTGTTCAAGTAAAATCTTATTCAAATAATAATAATCCTTTCATTTGATATAGCACCTCATCATGTCTTTGAGACTTCTCAAAGCGCTCCACAGAATGTACTGTAAAGTGTAGTGACTGTGGGTTTTGTGGGCGAAATGCCCACTGGTAGAATTGGTAGAATTCAGCATTCTACCAATGTGGAGGAGTCGGTTTTAACAACAGGGTGTGCTCTGCACAAGATACCAGAGTAGGCACTGTGAAGGTGATAATGGTAGTTCCTATCGTTGTCCAAGGGGACCACTGGATAACTCCTTCCCTCTTCAGACATTAGATTTACAGAATAAAGATACCTCAAGGAATGTTTCTACAGACCAAGGTCACTGGCACTCTGCCATTAGACTCCTGCAGCACCTGTGGGTATCGCACAGACAGGCAAACAGCCATATGGCGAGAAAGGTATAAATGATGAGCATTGTCAAAAGTAAACCACTTAAAATTCTACACTGTAGCAATTTTTTAAGGCAAAAAAATGTACCCAGAGTTTCCTGTATAGATAACTTGGCAATCAGAATATTGTAGCTGTTTCTGCAGTTACACTGATTTAGTGCTCCGGGACATTGTTCACGTGAAGGCCGTTATATAAATATAACTTTTCGTTTGTAATTATTTTCACCAATTTTTTTCACTTTGTTGCTGTGTGCAAACTGGTTAACCGCTTTTGCCTACAAAATACACTTTATATATTCTGAGCAGGCGCTGTATCAAATGCAAGGAATCTTGTTATTTATTATTACAGTACATCCTGTGAAATGATTTGAGACTTCTTCCTGACATGAAAGGTGCTGTTTCAAACACAAAAAGTATATTTTTATAAAACTTTTAATAGACATACTAAATCAGGTTTTTTTTTATGATTCCCCCCNTCTTCTGTAGAGGCCTGAGACAAAGATCATTTTCTTTCTTTCATTGGTCTGTGTTCACACTGATTTGGGACACTAATTCCCTACATTTCTCAGATAATCTCCCTGCACTCAGAATTCATACCACCTTGCCTCAGACAGCACAAGCAAACTTCTATTTTCTAATCCAGTTGATTTACCTCAAGTTTTAAGGTCAACTACTTGCTATGTCTGCTGGGAAATGGATTCAAGCTGCTCAAAAATACTTGATTTGCTAACTCCATCAAAGGATGATTCCATTTTTTTTACACTAGATTAAACCCAGACTTCAAAGGTTAGAAGACTGCGTTCCAAATCAAAGTACCATGGAGTCCTGTAGCTCAATGGTTAGAGCGCTCGCCTCACAAGCGAGAGACCTGGGTTTGATTCCCAGCAGGGCGAAACCTTGGGCAAGTTTCCTTACTCCACACGCCTGATAATAATCCCTCAAGAAAAAAAGAAAAACAATAATAGGTAGGTCTCTTCAATCCATGACTGTTTGTGGGACACTGTTGTGCTGCTGCTTTTCACCCGCAAATATACAGTCAATTCACTTTACAGTCTATTCTGTGAAGCGCTTTGAGATATTTGGAAGACGTGAAAAGCGCTATATCAAATGCAAGGATTTTTATTATTACCACAAACTTCCAAGATAGTTGTTATTACAGCAGAATCATTTGCCTAACAGTCTCAAAGGAAAAGATTTTTTAAAAAATTGAGAAGGCTTCTTATTTACTGGAGCCCTATATTTTCAGTGTTGGATCAGGAAAAGGACTCCTTAAAAGAAAATGGAAGATTATTTGTAATAAAAAGAATCTAATAAATAATAATAATAATCCTTGCATTTGGTATAGTGCCTTATCGGGTCTTCGAAATGTCTCAAAGCGCTTCACAGAATATACTGTAAAATGACAGTCAACACGTGTTCTGAAAAGGTAGGCTTCTCTGACCAATTTCATGGACTCAAAAGTCAGCTTGCTTTTTTTGCATCTCAAAACCATGAACAAACCAGAAGTCACTATTATCACAACAAATCCAGTTTGCAAATATCACACTTTAGATATCAACAACGCAGCGTAAAATCTGCCATTGTTGACAGCACACAATTCAATCAATTTGGGCTTATGCGGCGAGATGAAAATACTGGTCAAAATAACAAGCACACAACAAATTACATTTGTATAGGGCCTTTGACATACAATCCAAACCATAAGCATTCAAACACAAGTAATGATTAAGCTTAAACAAGCTCATGTGACTGGCTTGAAACAGTTTACCACCACATGAAATGACAACGCTTACACTAATATTGTCTTCCTACAGGAAATAATCTATCAGCTCTCTGAAAGCCCTTGAGGGAAACTTACTTGCTCAAAGCTACGTTTCATTAGGCTAACACAAATAGGCTTCTCGTGGTTACAAGATGTTATGTAATCCATCAAAGGAGAGTCATATTTGTATTTGCTTAAGTGTAGAAATCTCTTTTTAAAAAAAACAGTGGCACAACAAATTTGCACAATCAAATGGGAAATACTGCACAACGTTGGAATCAAAGCACCTTGGGACTTCCTCTTGACGTGAAAGCTGCTATACAAATATAATTTTGTATTGTAGAAACAGAGTTCAGGATAACTGAACTTAGCCCAAATTTCATGAGACTGGACTCGATGTGAAACTAAATGCAAATGAAGCTTTGCATTAAACCAGATGTAAGAATTGATGTCCAGTGAAAATCCAGGGTTAATTGCACTACTTGAATGTGCAGAAGTCAATTCAGAAAAGGCACAAACTAGAACACATACTAAAAAAAATTTCAATTTTGCAGATTAATAAAAGAACAGTTGGCTTATCTAGCATGTACTTGAGGTTGGCAGCGTGAATTATAATATACACTCAGCTCTTAATTTCTTTTTGAATCATGCCACAGCTGCAATTTAGTTTTCTGAATACACCATCTCGCGAACATCACAATATTTTTCAAGACACTGAACTTACAGACACAGGCATTATTTTCTGAAACTATAAATTTCTTGATTCACATTCTCCCTGTTAAAGCCCTCATATAATAATCCTTGCACTTGATACAGCGCCTTATCACGTCTTCGAGACGCCCCAAAGCGCTTCACAGGATATACTCTAAAGTGAATTGACTGTATATTTTGTGGGCAAAACTATTATTAGAAATAGCATTGGGATTTCAATACTTTGAGCTTGTTCTGTTATCTTTGTGGATCATGGCAGGTCTTGTATTTGAATGTATTATATATATATACATACACATATACATATACACACACACACATATTGATAGTTCTTAACAATCCCAATGAATTCATCTCTTTCGATAACTTACTTCACAGAACAATGTGAGTTTGTCGTCAGGAAGAAGGCCATTGGCCTCATCAAGCAGAAAATCCCTTCGAATAAACTTCTTGAATCCCCAGTCCTTCCCTTGTACAAATCGATATGCTCGCTGGCTCTCTGCAAAACAAGATTAGATTCATTTCTGCTTAGCTAAACATTCAAGAATGTCACCTAGATCAATCAGAGAAAGTCTCGCCAACTTTTTACAGTTCAACTCATTCAAGATGGATATCAACAAAAAAGATTTGCAGCTACCTGGACAACATCCTGTGATACAAGTTTGGTCAAGCAACAGATGACAGCATGGTAAAATAGACTTTCAGATTCCAGACACACCCATTTATTATGCCGTGAAGCTGGCCTAATCTAAATATGGCCTTTAGTCTTCAGCATGAAAAGGGATTCAGTTATAATTTGAACACTTCCAGTATGCCAGTGAACCCATCTGTTCAAAAACTCTTTGCACAAATTTGCCTGTAATTTACCCCAATTAAAACTAAATCTTAAAAGTTTGAAAGCAGAAATATAAAAGATTAACAATTAGATTTTTACAAATATTTTGATTGCTTTTTACTTAAAACACTGGCCTGTTAGAGCAGTTTGCATTTGTCAACTGCAGTTTTACTACTCTTCCACCTGAATAAGTCAGCTTGATTGCATATAGAAGCTAAACATTAAAAAACATTATAGATCTTTATAGGTTTACATCTTTAAAATAATCAATACATTACCAAATCCCGTCAAAAGCATTACAATGCCCATAGATAAACAGTTCTGATGACTCATTGCAGAAAGTGCTAGATTTATCTGGCTTGAACCAAAATAAAATGCAGAAGTGAATATAATTTCCATGGCTCCATGGCATTCAGGAAAGATAGGATGGACAGGAAAAGTAAAAGGATTGGCTTATATGCAAACGACACCTGGAAGCTTAAGGCAATTGGGCCATTATCACAGGGAAAAACTGTGGTGTGAAATTCTCTGGAGTGTTTAAGACAAGGGTATGGTTGGCATTTCTGGTCTTTAACCAGAACTACTCGGCAATGCGCCAATATTCGTGTGAGTGAAAAAAGAAAGATGATACTGATGGGGAACTTCACCCAAACCCAATATAAATTGGGAAGAAGAAAATGTATGACTGTGCCAGGTAGAGATATGCACTGAATGCTTTCTCCTAGATTTAATTGTTATAGGTGACCTAGAGACTATTGAAGGAATAGTATTTAGACTACCAGAATATAGCAACCAACCGAATTATAACATTCAATAGAACTTAGAAACAGCAATGTGTAACCAAAACCTACTATGCAATGCTAGTTAGCCAAACAGATGTGGGAAAAGACACTATTTAAGAATAAATCAGTTCAAAATTAAATGGACATCCTCAAAAAGAAAGGTGATTCATGCAGGACAAATACGTATACACGTACATTAGAAGCAAAATAGAATAGCAATGCTCCGAAACAGATCATGAGAAAAATAAGATTTATAAAGCTAATAGAAAGCAGAGAGAGGAGAGCAGGACCCTTGGGCCAAGTAGAGAACTCTATAAAATATAGAAAAGCAAGTTAAACGATTTGAGGAGCCAAGCAAGATTTGAAAAGGAATATAGCAGCAGGTGGAAACAAATGCTGTTTTTTCCCCAATATTATAGCAGGAAAACAGCAGTCAGAGGGGGACTTATGACGACTAAAGTTCAAGACAGATACCAGAAGTATTTATTTCTACAACGGGTAATCAACAGCTGGAACAAGTCACCAGAAAGGGTAGTTGAAGCTGGGAGATAGGACAAACTGCTCAATTCAGGAATGGGAAGAAAATAGTGTCACTTTTCTGGATGGATGGGATAAGAACGTTTTCTTCCTCTGAAATGTTCTTGTGCACTCGTGGAAATATTAAGGATTGGGCAGTTTAGTGAGTTAGATTATTGCTTTTTACCTCCAGGAATTGGGGTTGACTCCAGCCCAGACTGATCGGCTAAAAGTCTCTAGTCTATCTGATGTGTAATATTTGAAATTAATCTGGGCAATTGGAATTCGGTTCCTAATTGATCTGGGCTCATAACAAATGGATAATAATAAAATTGGTTAATGAAGTAGATTAAAAAAAGGCACACAATTGGAGCAATCTTCTTAAGTTGCAGCTGAAGCACTTTCATTGTTCAAAATTAAAAGCTTTACTCTCCAGCTATAAATACCAGACTCCCTGGTAGTGTCGGAAGTTGACCCTTGAAATCATTCGCAACTTCTCAGTGACTCATCCCTAACCTGGATAAGCAAAGCCCCCTCCCCGAATCTATAAAAAACATGATTGACTCAACACACTGACTGAGGAAACAGATTTTATGTTAAGCTTGTTAAGAGAAATATTAGTCCAGCATTTGCAGAGGAGTGTTATATATAAGACCCAAGCTACAAGTTGATATTTCTTAATACAATAAAGGAATAGGATGGTTATAGCAATTATATAATTAAGCTGGAATGTAACTGTGCATACGCAAAAGCTTTGGATGCACCAATTGCAATTCATAGTCGCACAACTGAATCTCAGGATACAGTAAAGATTTCAAATATTAGATTAATTAGGTTTTTCATAGGGCAATAGTTTTTTGTAATTGCAATTCTCTTTAAAAGGCCAATTACCTTCCAATTGGGATGCCTTCATAGCCTAAGTAACTAAACTGAAAGGCAGAACAATACTACCAATAGTTACCTTGAATCCAATGGATAATTAATTGTGTGAGATTTGGAATGGGTTACTATAAAGCACGACGATGGAATGGAATGGTAAACTGTCCACTAAATTTCCACCTGCAAATCTGCAACCATCAATATTGGCTAGCTCTCCAAATTGAAAGCAACAGCAAATTTGCAAAAAGAAATTGAGAGGATGTCCCCTTCTCCGAATGTGCACTAGTTTTATTACAAGCAAAGCTTCCAATCTTAAAATAACAAACGAGAAAAGTCAAGCCCACAAAATCACCTCCGGCTTGGGAGAAGGGGTTTAATCAGCATTGAACATGCTATTCAAATGGTATGAGCAGAAAAAGCGACATGCAAACAATAATTCAGAGATGAGAACACTTACCCTAAGCTCGTTTTTTAAAAAAAACGATAGCTCTTAACCAAATAAAAAACCTTAATATTCCTATTACTTTTAAATTAATTCAATTGAGGAAAGCACTCTCAGTTTAGCTGGTTTAATGGTACCAGTGATCAACTTGGTATCAATTTCAGTGAATTTGTAAGTATTCGACTCATGATAAAACTTGTAGAGAAGAAAATAGTCAGCCAAGATAGATATGGATACTTAGGGAGTAAGAGTATTGAAGAATATGGAGAAAGAGTGGGGTAATGATTAAAAAAAATCTGCTGTGAATAATAATAATCCTTGCATTTGATATAGCGCTTTTTACGTCTTCTAGACGTCTCAAAGCGCTTCACAGAATAGACTGTAAAGTGAATTGACTATTAATTAATTATTAATTATTAGTGAGCCATTAATAATACAGCAGAATTGACTCAAAGGGGTTAAATGGCCTATTCTTGTTCCTGTCACTTGCCAAATTTACAGTTCTGGTTGAAAAGAGTGGTTCTTATAGAAATTCAATTAAAAAAAAAATTCTTAAGAAGTGGAAGCAAAACAAGCAACAGTCCAGGTAGCTCGATCAGGTCAGCACTAAGGCTACCGATGTTTAGGCATTTGTGGTTGATAAAAGTGAGCATCGGGTCTTATTTTTCCTATATACAGGGTGACCAAAAAGTCGTGATACCATTACAATGTCTAATAAGTCTTAAAAAGAAACGATGATATATATTTTTTGAGATAATAGGGTAGTTTTCATGACTTTTTGGTCATCCTGTATTATGAACTTAAATCTTCTTTATGGACATCTCCATGGTGAACTCGCTCAGAGTCCCGCACTTGATGAAGCCACACAGGCTCACAGCAATCCAAGGAATCATTGGTCTAGTTTATTAATAAAACTTAAGAGATGTAGATGTGTCTGCAGCTCCTAATGGATAGGACGGGTCTAACTGGTCAAGTGCCATGGGTGAAAATACTTTGCACTGGTATAAATGTGCAGTTACCATTGAAGTATAGAAACATTTAATAGCCAGTGATTTTTTTGCTAAGTGAACCAACAAAGAGGGTTCGCTCCTTAAAACGATTAGCAATTTCTATATCGTTACAGAATGAGTGAGGCAAACGTTAATGGAGTTTTAAGTGCTGTGTATTTGCTAAAACTTCCAGATCCTAATAAGTCACGTTTAATTATTTTTTCCAAAAAATCTGGGCACACACGCTTTCAAACAAAACTAGGTTCTGTTTATAGTCGGCACTTGTACTGTTTCAAAGATAGATCGTGGGAAGATCATTCATAGGAACTACAGATAATGCAAAGTGAATTTGCTATCGTAAACAATCGGTATTTTTAAATGTTACTGCAATGGCAATTTGTTGTATTTTGACAGACTGCACCGGTCAAAAGACCAGATCTGCAGATTGCTTTTAGCAAGCCTGGGTTTGAAAGGATCCCAGCCTTAGGTGAGGAGTAGTCAGTCGCTCACGACTTGTAAGTGTATAAATTAAACTTGATAACTTGAACAAACCATCACCTTCGCAACTTGGGAGTGGTGAGGAGGTGAGGGGGGGAGAGAGAGAGAGAGAGAGAGAGAGAGAGAGAGAAAAAGAGAAGAGAGAATGATTTTTTTTAAAAAAAGATGCGTGCAGACAGCAGTGGAAAGGAGCATTAGCCAAAAATATATTCCTTTCTTCGGACCAGATTTCACCGCTGAAGAGAACTGCATTTAAATGCTGAGCCTCTATCTAAAGTGTACCATCACTTCACTTACCCATCGCCTTAGTTTCTTCACCTTTTGCGTTCAGAATGGAGAATTTAAATTTTGCTCTGACTTCACTTTTTGGGCAGCTGACTAGCAGCAGGTAGAGTGATAGGTAATCTTTACTTTCCTCATCTAAACCCTTAGGGTTCACTCGAAGGCACCTTAAATATACATAAAAAAATGAAATGTTAAAAAAAATGAATGAATCACATACAGGCTAAAAAAATAAAAGCATTAAGTGCCTGCCTGGCCTATTTTTTTTAATTCTCTTTTTTTGGGGCATCGAGGCTTTTACCATTCTAAAATCTGGTTACTTCAAAATGCTATTATTGCTTCTGTCTGACTTTCCCCTTGCACTCTCGATAGCGCTACATCAATTAGTTGCTATGAATCACTTCAGGGTTTATGTACCTACTACCTTTTAACTATTCTGAAGGACTATCCAGGACACCACAAATAACCCACCTGAATACAGAAACTACCACCTTATTCTACTGCTACTATAGGGTTTTCAAAATACCTACAAAGACCTCCCCAGCCCTCAATCTCATAACTAATTTTTTTTAATATTACCTATTTATTCTGTTACACTATATTACGGTAGTTCACTATTTCATTCCCTAAGTGCCACAGGCCAAGTTACTTTTCACCTCTGAGCCACTGAAAGGCAAAGCATGTCGGTCTTGTGAGTAACACTGTTATGTTTGTCCCTTAAGCTCAAATTTAGAACATCAATTCTCTCTCCCCTTTTCTAGTTCACCATCTATTGCTAAACATTGACCTGACATTCTGTGTTTATGATTAAAAGTTCCCACCAACTGAAAGGTTAAATGGGCGAATTCAAACAAAAGAAAATACTGACCGGTAACTTAAAAGAAAAATTCCAATATATGTTTTGATGCTATGAATACCAAAACTGTATATGAAACGGTTCTATGTGCCTTTACTTGGCCTTGATAGGACAAAGGCTTATAAAACACACCAGAGGATATTCACACACTACTTCACGATAGCAGTACGAAACTTAAAACTGGGACATTATTGAAGCAGATATAGTATAGAACCAAATTGTCAGAATTTCTGATGAACTTGATGTGTTAACACATTGATAATTACAATGGGAAAATAGGATATTCTTGTATTCTGCGCTAAATGCTAAAGTATATTTGGTTCAAATTGGTTTTCCCATTAATACAGTAACCACGAAACCTTAATTTGGTAATTTGCCTTTTACAACAAATGTAAATACTCTAGCTCCCTCTAATTAGTTACTTGTCCATTTCCCCCACATTTCTAACACTTGAATGCTACCATCTTTATCCATTTATAGATTTGAAGGATGACATTTCTTGTCTAGAAGTGGAAATAGGTCATTAACACAGTGCCAGGACATTCACTGAAATGAGATGTGTGGCTCTTCATGATTCTGTTCAGCCCAAAAATGTATTGATTTACTCCCCCACTCCACAAAACAATCAAGGCAATTTTCGGTTCCACATGTCAATTGTCAATATCAGCAGCAGAATTACCGATAGAACAATTCTAACAATATTAACCTGTCATTTCTCCTCCCAATTATTTAAGCAATATCACCCAGTAACCTGCCAAGGATATAGTTCTTATTTTCTCCCGACTAAGGGGAATTAATTCCATCAGCAATGTCACACACACTGCCATGAAGTAAGTGAATGACCAATTCATCTTGAGGAAAGTTGGCCAGGATAAAATTAAAATATGAAAGTAGCCCAATTATGGTGCTTGAAGGGGCATGGGGATATGGCAGGACAGTGGGATTGAAAAANCATCTTGCTCTGAGAGCTGGCACAGACTCGATGACCTGAGTAGAAATTAATGTAAGGTTCTTTTCCAATGATCTATTGTCTTTCAAGCTAAGGGAAAATATATTCTGCTGATTGATGGATTTTTGTTACTCTTTCAATCTGACTACAATTTTTGAGCATATTTAGAAATTAATCATCCTAGAACTAGAGGATAAATCAAACACAGCCATGCATTACTGACCAAATACCAGCAATTGATGTTTTACTATTAAACATCAACATTTTTGACAAAAATACCTTTTCTAATACTGCACCTGTTCTAATACTGTAGAGTCTTTCAGCAGCACAATCTTCTATTTAGCTTTCAACAAATTCCAAATCATTTTAGCCCATTTGGGTTTTAATATATTATAACTTATATAAAAACAAGCCCTGCATGCAACACGAAAGACAATATTCACAAAGTTAATGAGAATTTTGGCAAAATGATTAGCTACCAGCACAGCAATAACAAACAGAACAATCAGCCATTAAAACATTGAAGTGGCTCCTTTGGTGACTACAGTTCGTAAACCTTAAACAAAATAGTCATAAGGGGAAAGGTCCCAGGTTAGCAGAGGTGGGGCATCGGGAAGAAACGATCAGGGATCCTGCTTTTGATCACTATACAGTGAACCCTGCAGGAAAGTGCATGTGTGTGAGTTTCGGATCAGGCTCGGCAGTAATGGCCCTGAGGGACAACAGGCCAACCAACATTCTTGGTCTAAGCTCACACTTGAAGAATGGTCAAGTGCGCCAAAGTGCCAGAGGGAAGAACCAAGCCCAAACTGTGGAACCGTTCTTCAATACGAGCCAGAACATTCAGAAAAGGAGAATGACTAAATGGGGCAAGGAAATGACTTTAAAGGTGTATCAATATAGCATCACCTCAGCCTGTTCAATCTACAGTCTTGGAACATTAATAAACACTATTGGCATTGTAACTATCTGCAGAGAAATTGATGACAGATGGCTCCTTAATCCACAAAATGCTTTTTCATATTTTAAGCACTTAAAGTATTGAAAGCCTCTGAAGATGCCAAAGTAGCTTACAATTTCTTCATTACTGCATAGTTTATCTGCGTAGTGAAAGAAGGTCTATTAATACCACTAGTCCTGCCTCCAAACTGAATTGTCTTGCTATTGCCTGATAGTGCCAGAAGGAAAAGGAGAAAGCAAGGAACGCTGGCAGTGGCATATTCTATCAGCTGAGAAACTGCGACCAAAAACAAAGGCAATAAACAAGGAAGCAGAATACAAACACAAACAAACAAATCTATCACCTTACTGTATCCCTACTTAAAGACTGATGTATAGTCGGAAAAACTAAATACATGCAGCTCTGGGGAAAGCAAGCTAAAATAAATTATGAAAAAATGAAGAGGAAAACATGATGTCAGCCTGATTTTGGTCATTTTTTCCCACATCCTTGTTTAGATGTTGAGATGCACGCTCTGTGCTCTCTCAGCAGGTTGCTCAATTAATTTGAACTAGTGCTGAATTACACCCCACATACTCAAGACTTAGGACCTTTGCTGGCTGCTCAAAGTGAGATAACTTTCCAGTATAGCTGTGTAAACTAGATTTCATCACAAGTTCCACAAGAAACAGAAACTGTGTTTCAAGTTGTCGACATTGTATCATGACGATACAACTAACTCCTCAATAACATCTATTTACACAAAGATAGAGAAACAACCTAAAACACTGAATGAACTGATTCAAAAAATACTTTTCAACTAGTATGTCAAAGAAATGAACATCTTGTTTGGACCCAAAAGGTAGTAGGACACTTGCCCAAAGAGTATGTAGCAAAACAGGCCAATATTAAGGTAAATTTGACTGCTGAGCTTCAAATTTATACAACCTGCCTTTGACTTTACAGTACAAATACAATGCTTTAATTTAAATAGTTGCTGCAATCAGCGTCGTCCAAAAGGTTTACAGACAGAGGTTCAAAAAGGATTCTGAAGTAATATAGTGTTCCTCATTCATCGCTTCAACATTTTAGACCAAATTTTCATAACCTCAACAACGGAAGTTACGGTGCTTGAACAAATATGCCAAACCACTGTTTCAATTGGGAAGTTACAAAATATTATATTCAAATCAATTTTACCTTCTTCACAAATCTTTTGCTAACAAAACCCCTTCCCCAAAAATGATTTTGCTCTCTGTTTCTAGCTCCTAACAGATAACTGAAGGCTTATTTGAACCCCTATTTGTAAAGCAAAATGACTGCAGTGAGCTCCACACTAACCACTTTAATTTATCATTGGCTCCAGATGAGAAGGTTGAGCTCTTGATAACTTCTCCCATTTCTTCGCGGCAGAAACTGAAGTTGTTGATGGTCCACATGTAGGAGAACTTCACCACTTTTATCTGGCAATTAGAAATATAAAAGAAAACGTGTTTGAATGAACTCTATCCCACAACAAACGTGAAATGTATATTTTTTCAATATATTGTAATTCATAATCAATCAAAGAATACAAATGTTTCAATTCCGCCACACAAGTCCTACTGCCACGAAATAGAAAATCACAGAATTCATGATCACCGTTGTATTGGTTGTATAAGTCGTAACTTGTGTCCCTTGCATCTAGGAACAGTGCAGATTATGAATTTGCCAAGACTTTTTCAGTTAAACTAGCTCCTATATGCATTTATATAAGGTCCAGTAGAATAATAATAATAATAATCCTGATTATAAGATGATGCTTAGGATCCATAAAATCCCAACCACTTATGATGTGTGCATGTGCTTAAGCCAACTGTGGGTCACGAGGGTCCTGCTTTATAAGCAAACTAGTTTTATGGTTGTTGACCATTAAACCAAAGTCCTAGATGAATAAAGTTAGCAAGAGTATCGAAATCCCACTTCTGTGGGTTTTTTTTAAAAAAACAACTTTTCAGACTATTTGAAAACAGATAAATTTCTGCTTGTGCTCCAGCCAGCATGCAAACTGTTTGATCCTTCATTTCATGGGTGAATTGGTCATTCACATTGTATTTACTTACAAGTATTCATTAAGCTTGCAGCAATTGCCTACAAGGCACTTTGAGATGTTTCAAAGGGGGTTAAGAAGGCTATTGGGAGGACCCAAGCGTGGCTCTTGCCAACCTGTGTTTGTGGCATTAGGTAAGCAAGGTGCATCCCTCTGTGTGCATTCCATTACCAGTCAATGAAAACCAAACCAACCAAAAGAATGACAAGGATGATCTCCAGTTAAGAGGAATGAGCTATAAGCTGGGCCAATAGAAAAGTGCAGCTGTGATGTCTAACGTGTCAAGCTTATTCCAGACATCCTGACGTAAGTGGTCTGGGACACTACTCTGCGTGAGGGGCACTATATAAAAGCAAGATATTCTTAGATGTTATATTATTCCTCCACATTCGGGTTCAGCCTCTGCACTTCCTCTGGGGAAGGGCAGTGGATTGTCACAGTGACCAGCACTCTGCTGAGCCAGAGAACAATGCTCTCATACCACGCTATAGCGGATTTTGCAAGAACGATCCACTGTACATACCTGTGTATAACACCAGCTTTCAGCTACAGGTCCACTTGACATTTCAGCCGGAGGTGGCGGACTTGGTACCCTTGACATCGCCAGCTTGAATATTATAGGATTTCACAAGGCAGGCGAAAGAAATCTTTATCGGGTTTACCCTAGTAGTGGAAGAAAATTCACACATTTATTATTTAAAGATCAATCTGTGTATTGTGGAACACTCTGACACACTATAGCTGCAGCTCACTGAACATGACTTCAACAGCCCTTCCCAACCCTGAGTGACTTCTGCCACCTAAGGACCAAGGGCAACGGCATCACTGAAATCCCAGTGCCTTGGGACGTCCTCCTGACATGAAAGGCACTGTACAAATTTAATTTGTTGTGGTTGTTGAAACACCACCATCTCTAAATTATCTCCAAGCCGCACGCCACTCTGATTTGTACATAAAAACACTGCTCCTTCATCATGAGTGGGTCAAACACCACATCCAAACTGAACATTGAGTGAGTGTGACTGCCGCGTTTCACTCACAAAATATACCATCAATTCACTTTACAGGTATCCTGTGAAGCGCTTAAGAGACATCTCGTAGAAGTGATAAGGCGCTATATCAAAAGCAAGGATTAGATTATTATGTAACATTGCAGTGGTTTAAAGATCAGGCCCACCACTATTTTCTTAAGTCAAATAAACACGAGACAATAAATGAAAAATAGCAGCATCGCCTACTCCCTGAGACAGGCAAGATAGCTGTCGCATCTCACTTGGAAAAATTGAATTTGAAGCTGTGTTAAAAAAAACACACGTTACCCCGATCTTAAGCAGAGCAGAACTAGGCAAAAAAAATTATAATGTTCACTATTATAATTCTGCCGGAATCTGAAGTGGCAGCAACAAAAAGTGTGTTTGTATACAGCACATACTACAGATGTTTTTCAGTAGTTAAAGCATCTATATATTCAGGCTGTAGAATTCTGCCATCTCAGGCAGCAGACCATCTGATAACCCAAAGTCATCACACAAATACAGATGTGCAGTTAGAATTCCTTTAGAACCTGCATTAAACTGGCTTGCAACGTTTGAAGACTCTGATATGGAAAGATATAGTGCAGCTAAACCGTGCATCTCATTTCCTGCCAGCATCAAAAGAAAGCTGGAAACCATTACAGTTGCCAATGAAAGCACACTTGTGAATGCGGTTTTGCAACCGTCAAGTTCTACAACTATTATAGGCAGCTCAAACCCATGGCTGCGCACACAGTAATTCAATACATTTTAAAATTCAGCTCCATGTGGCCCTGAGCTATCCCAATTGTTGCAGCACTGTCGCCTTTTGAAGTTGGCACCCTAAATCATAAATTAAAGTAAAATATTATAATCGGAAAGGAAAGAAGTTTTACTTTATTAAATTGGCAAAGATAGTTGTGCAAGCAGGGATTCTCCTATTTCTAGCAACTTTTGAATCGCAATTATTCAACCCACTAAGGCATCGCTTGTCAAAGAAATCCAGCAACGATCTTCAGATTATATAAAAAGTCTTGAATGACATGATTTTATAGGTCTGTGTATTTCACCAAAATTAATATTCTAATTAGTGGTAAAGTGGTAATTTTTTGGTGGCATGCATCCTGCAGACTTTGGAGTTGACAGAGATTACAGAGATCAGGGTGCCAACGCTAAACTTCCACATATATTTATTTGGCTGTAAGTCCCTACTTGAGATCAATCAGGTCAATCATAGAGAGTTTGGCCGCAACTAACTTTTTTTTTGTTGGTCAGCCAGATGTCTGGCTCCTGCGAAAACCCAGGACCGTAATTAAGGGTATCCGAACTAGACAGAGTTCTACATAGGTATGCTATCTACACATGGAATTCCCTGCTCCCTGGTCTGCCCCTCCCAAGTTCCTGCTGATGTGCCAAGTTGGTTGCTATGATCAGCAGTGTCAATCGGACCCACCTGGCTCAGGAATCAGACTACAGAGGCCGACGCAGAAAAATGACTCAATTTTTATAGCCTCCTTCTCTGGAGTCATTTGGCTTTTTTTTCTAAGCACCAATGTGAGAATGTTAGCACCATTCTCCTTTTCCTTCTCTATCGCCTGCAAAGATTTGATCACTACTTCACTTTCACATGGAGAATCAAGCACTCTGTAAGAGAGTGAATCATTGCATCAAACGTAAAAATTACTGATAAAATCAAGGACGACACTTGTCCAGAGGACACTAACATTGGTGTTGCAACACATCCATTCATCATGACCCAAACTCCTGAATAAGATGAATATCCAGTGCATAAATTTACCAGGAATAGCAGAATGTTATACTCGAATCCAAGAAACAGAAAATATAATATCAAGGGTTAACCTAAAGATGACCATCAATACTTCTATTTTATGGAACATTAGATTGACAGTGTCGGACGCAAATTGACAGATTTATTCCAAAGTACAATTGGTAAAGAGAGAGCAAGTTAGCGTAATTGAGATATTGTAGCAGCTTCTCATTGACTTGAACGATTCAGAAGTGTGCGGACTCCAGTTAAAGATAGCCTAAAGCAGTACCACAGATTGCAAATACAGTGAATGCAGTGTGTAACATCGCACACCAACCCTAATACTCAATCACTGACTGACTCTAGTGGGAACAAAGTTCTTCATCAGTCAGCTATAGTTAGCCAAACAGATGCGAGCCAGTCTGCTAAACTCTGAAGCCTGCTACTGCTGCACAAAAACATAAATCAATGAGTATTCACACTCAAGTACAGCTGTAACTCCCTGTATCTGTATCTGCAGCAGACCCCACTGTGTTTTGCATTTCAAATAGAGTCAGTAACTTAGTGTTAAAGCAACACCCAACAAAAATGGCAAACAGCCGAAAAAAGCCCCAAACAGAAAGACAGCTGGATTGAAATAAAATCTGAATTCGATCACCATCAACTTCCTCTGCAGAATGGATGTTGTTCCAACTGTTTTGCAATATATCAACTTATCCTAAACTATGACCCATGTCGTGAACTTCATTTTTGTTAAAAAAAACTTGAGTGTTTCAAACTTCAAATAAAGATCATTCCAACTGAAGTGAACACAGTTCTGTTGAACAACTTGCATTTACAGTATATAACAGCACCCTTCACACAGGATTGCATGTTGGAGCGCTTGATTTCACAGAGTTGTATGATCTAATGATAATAGTTTGTGGTAGATTGTCAAGGTGCTTTCAAGTACTAAGGCTGTACACTTCTACTCCTACAGAATGGCTAAGAAACAGAATCAGCGACAGAAGCTTCTGGCTGAAAATAACTGCTATGTTTAAAACTGATGTCAGCCAATATTAAATCTCCCAGGAACAAAGGTAAATTTATAAACTGTGGCATATTGCTTCAATAGATAGAGAAACTCTCCTCCTGCCAAATCCAAACACACGTATGTACTGTTCAAGCTGTTAATATCACTGAAAACCTAAACCTTTCCTTAGAAGGTTTATACTAGATCTCAGTAAATAGATGTGATAGGATATGGGATATTTTGTATCATATTACTTTCGCCATTCAGAAGCAGAACCCATTACATCGTAGAGCAACATAATTTTAAGACAAATTAACACGATTTGCATATGATATACTGTACGAAACTATATTTGCTTGAAATTGTGATCAAGCAAGAAACCACTAATTTGATCAAGTTTGTATAACCTACATGGATATGGAGAAATATGCACAATGTTCACTCTATTAAATGGTCACATAATTTGTCCTGAATTGGTAATGACTAAAATCAGACCATATAACCCAATAACCCAGAGGCAAGCATTGAAGAATATAAACTTTCTATGGAAATGCAAGTTGATGAAATCAGAAATAACAATCCAGCAAAACTCCCAAAAAGAAGAACTTTAGACCCGAGCAGTAGGTGCTAAACAACCAGCCCACCAATATAAATGTTGTGCAATAAGCCCTAAAATTGGAACAAATAAGAACATACTGTATCAACGTGTTCACTCTATTAAAAGTAAGAGCCATACGCTAAATAACTGTAGTGAAAGCTACTGTCATTTAGATAGAGGCCGATCAAGTAATGGATTCGGCAAAGGTATCAGTGATAACAATAATAATGATCCTTCCATTTGATATAGTGCCTTATCATGCCTTCGCGACGTCTCAAAGCACTTCACAGGATACACTGTAAAGTGTAGTGGCCATATATTTTGTGGGCGAAACGTGGCAGTCAAATACGAACAGCAATGTCCAACAGCAGTGGTGATGTGCATGTACAGAGGACAAACTTAGGAAAATCTGAGATTTATGAAAGTTCAAAGCTGCACAATGAGCAAAATTCAATCGTGGGCATCAGCCCAAGTCCAGCACAAGAAAGTACACCGGAAGACAAGTATAATAGGAGCAGATTGACCACTGTCAATCTGATATCCTGTTTATACTTAAGACACAAAACTATCCTGCAGATTCCAAGTATTGCAAGATAGTTGACCTATTTAGTTTGAGGGTTAATTTCCTGAATCAGGAGGTCATCAGCCAAGCTGCAAGAGGACAAAAACAAGACCGTCACAACATTCGCTGCTTCCCATATATCATCCCACCATTTACACTTAATAGAATTTTCAAAAATTCTGTGTAATGAGGCAATAGAGACATATGAAAATATGTGACAGCACCCACCCTATGGAAAGAGCAGGAAAAAACAGAATATTTTAGCTCTGATCTTTTAAAAAAATAATAATTTGACTCTAAAATAAATAATCATAAATGCTGGCAAGACTGCTGTAAAGAGAGAAGACAGGTGGCAGCTGCTGAACATTTGCAGGTTTGGCAGTGGAATTCAGCAACAGTTATAGGTAGTGCGTTTAGTGGGATAGGAACAAAACACCTCTTTTATTCCTAACTTGTGCTGAGTTTACAATTCAGGTTGACTTCTGACACCTAACCCAAAGGGATAAATAAATGGCCTGGCTTGAACACTAATCCTAATGCTGGATGTCAGAACACTCTTCTGTCAATGGCGCTCTCAGTAACCGAATGGTCAGTGTCAATTTCTTAAATTCCACCCGTGCACAGAACCAGTATCGATCTCATTCTGCAAATGAGCGTAAAATTTGGTAAACTCTGGGACTGTCAAAAAGGTGGAACACTCAAGTCATTCTCTTCCTGATTAAGCAGTCCTTTTCCAAACTGCAAAACTATAGCAAAATGTTTCTCTTGTTCAAAGTGCGTCCTGCGATTCAAAGATCAGATCAGCAAAGTAAGATGAAAACAAAAATGTTTGGGAGCAAAGCTGGTGATTATTCGGGTGCAGCCCCAGCCTTTTGCTGCAGTTATTTATGCAAAGCCCAAACAAATACAGGTTCTCTCAGGTTTTTGTGCATTGCACATGATCTGACTTCTTTTGCTATGTAACACAGGTTCAGTATAAACCAGGCATTAATATGCAATAAGAAACTTTAAGCGTGAATATCACTCAGTCTTGCAAGAAATAAATAGGTGAATGGTAGCAGGCCGGGGAGGAGAATTAGATTGAATCTGAATTTTACTCCCCAGAGAAGAGGTGGTGAGCTGTTGTTAGTGTTAAGGACACATGGCAGATGGATCTGTTGACAACTCTCTGAATGAGCTGTGGACTCAAATTTCCACAATTATCCAAGTAGCTGTCACTGCAGCAGTGGCAGCTTAATTCTGTAATTACAGTATTAGAATGATTCATCTTCAGCATTTCTCCAAGGAAAAACATATCTTATCTCATTGTGTTGTTGCTTCACACTTACTGTCTCTTCTTAGCTTCCAAGCCACTAATGCAGTTTTGGCATTGGGCAAAGTGTTGCCTACATTGAATGACTGTCCCACTGGATGGAGTCTCTGGATCTTGCCTGGTTTGGCAGTCATTGCCAAACCTTATAATAATAATTATTGTATTTGATATAGCGTGTTATCACGTCTTTGAGACGTCTCAAAGAGCTTCACAGAATATACTGTAAAGTGAATCGACTGTATATTTTGTGGGCGAAATCTTGTATGTGTTTTTTTCTCCTAACAAGAAGTTATCTAGTTAAATCCTGGTAATATATTAATAAATTTAGGGAAAGACCCACAAATCCCTGGTACATTCCAAGGTTCAGGCAAAAAATACCATCACTCATTCACTCCACTTCACAAGTGCTACCACAACAAATTTGTTATGGGGAGAACTGTTTATGGTATGTGACAGTTTCCCTGTATGGTTGTGGAGTGGATAATCCCCACACATTTTGCTGCTTAGTGTATAGATTAACCTCTACACTGATCATCAATCCTCCTTCATAATATAGAAATCTAGCTCTTACTCCTTCAGGTTTTCTGTTTTGCCTTTTGCTATGGAATGTAAATTTCAAGTACCAAGTAGAGATATACATCTTCAGGTGTCTAGCAGCAAGTTAAAATATAACAGGAGTCTTAAACACTAATGGATTTGATAATTAAATCTTGACCTAACACACTAGACTATATAAAAAATGAGATTGTGTTCCTTCTCAAAACAGGAAATTGTTTTAAACCCGTTGACGTCAAAGTGGACTCAACAAAGTCAAAAGTCACACAATTGTATTAAGACTCACCTTTACTGTTTGTATGTGTTCCAACACAAGAGAAAAATGTTATCCCAATATTCAGGTAGCGCCATACCTGTAAACATAAAAAGGGTTACGTATTTTTTTAAAAAAACTATCCAGTGGATATCAATTTGGAATATCGTAGGGTAAAACAGAATGCTTTTGAACAAGGTAATTGGTGACAAACTAAAATAATACAACACAAATTTACATTTTTAGGTCGGGAGGACGTTCCAAGGTGTTGGGATAGTCCAGGGTTTGCACCCGAGCTGGCTGGGGCCAAGAGGGGATGAGGAGCGTGTCAAAGATGGCCAAAAGTGCGGTCAAACAGCAAGGTTTTGAGGCAAACCTCGAAGGAGACAAGGAAAGGGCCCGTCAAAGGGCTCTGGGATGGAATTCCAGAGAGTTGGGTAAGATATACACTGAAAGCACGAATGCAGATGGTGTAGCTGGGTGGTGAAGCAGGTTGATGAGGGAGTAGCCTGATTGGTACAGTTTGAGAAAGTAGTAGAGGAAAGGTGGGGTAAGGCAATGGAGGGGGAAGCTGGGAATTCAGCATTCCCTGTTATTCATTGGCTTCCAAGGCTACCTTGATGTTTCAACCCACAAAACTGGCACCTTAACAAGGTCCCAGGAATCTCAATTTCAAAACAGGAAAACCTAGCCAGATAGCCAGGACAACCAAGATCACACGTGAAGGTTTTCTTTTCCTTCCTGCTTTTATAACGCTCCTCACCTATAATAATAATCCTTGCATTTTATACAGCATCTTATCATGTCTTCCAGACATCTCAAAGCGCTTCACAGAATACACTATAAAGTGAATTGACTGTATTTTTGTGGGCGAAATACGGCAGCCAATTGCACACAGCAGCGTCCCACAAACAATCGTGGATTGAGTGACCAATTTTTTATGAAGGAATTATTGCACCCGGAAAAGCGATCCGTTAATCGACTAACTACAGGGTTCCTATTTACTGCTCGGTAAACAGAGGCGTGTGGAGTGAGGAAACTTGCCCAACGTTTCGCCCTACCGGGAATCGAACCCAGGTTTCTCACTTGCGAGGCGAGCGCTCCAACCACTGAGCTACAAAACTCCACAAGCGTGCACACCTGTAGGAGAAGATGATCCACAGGCAATCTGGTGAATTTGCTACCTCTTCCATTTTAAACAAACCATAGAAAAGCTCCCCAGTTTTGGTGGTTCTTTTGGCTTCTACCCAAACTGCAAGTAAAACAAATTAGGAAACTCATTCAACCCAGTGTAATTCCTCTAATCTGGCCACAGACGTTCATCCTCATTCTAAAACCTCTCTTCATTCAGACACTTGCACCTTGTTCTTGAGATCAGACAGTTTATCCCAGACTCTGGGGATCTAGTCAATTTGTTCATTCTTTTCAGTGTTCACAAAGCAAGAAATTTGATTTAATTCCAATATTTAAGACATTGTTTGAAGCAAATTAACCCATTTAGTAGATATTTAACCACCTCACCCAATATACTGTGCAGCAAATGCTACCGAATCATGTTCGTCAAATAAAGAGCACCACAAATATTGCTACAGATCATAGAATAAAACACACCCTTATTTGTTACCAAACCTATGTGAGAATTCATGTCAGTCATAGAAACAAATCTATTTATCTGCTACCTGTCCACGTGCCAGCTTGGTTCACATGTCAGACACCCAGCTGAACCCCAAAAAAGCTTGGCTGATTTGGTAGCACCAGTGTCTGGGCAGAAAGTTGTGGGTTCAAGCTTCACACTTGAATCCAAACTCATAGTCTAGGAACGCTGACACTCCACTGGGGTCCTGGGGGAGTGCTGCATATATGTAGTGGTCATCTTCCTGCAGTTTAAGCTTCTTGAAAAAAAAGGTATTTTTCCACTTTACGCCAGGAATAAATTGGCCTTTATGAAAGGTTTTCCTCCAATCTTACAATCCATTAGCACAGTGACTTTAGACTGTTTTAAGATTAGCTGAGGTATTGTGCAGATGTAGATAGATAGTACACCCAGACTCAAAGGACAAAATATTATTGTATGAACAAAATAGTTAACATTTTAAACTATCATGTCTTCAGTAATTTAAATGAAAGTGGTAGAAACCTACACTGGTAGCCTTGATTCATAGCTTTATTTAAAATGTCGTTATATTTTCAAAACTTGTGCCAAAACAAAACTACTTTAGAAAAATTAAGACAGTGCTATGAATAACGCACATCTTTTCCATCTCGATTTGATAGCAATCTTCAAAACACAGCAGAACATTACATAGTAAATTGAAACCATTAATTTAGATGCAGGTTAGGTTCCTAGCCTTTTATATCCACAAGAAATGTAGTCTAATAGTCAGTACTTCAACCCTCCCCTTACAAATACAGTACCTCCATTAGGAATGGTATCTGAAGATAGAATGATAGAAGGCAGCAGAGTGATTCTGCAATGAAGAGCCTTAGTGAAGTGAAAACCAAATCACTTAAAATCATTTTCAGATATCATGCTCCATTGAAAAATTCACTGGGTACTAAGGAAGCTTTGATCACTCAATCACTAAGCATGTTTGAACAATAAAAACTGTCTTTTCATGAATTCAATCGAATTTCTGGCTTCAAATGTAGTCTGATATTACAAACACACATCTGTAGTATTTGCAACCTAGGTAACTGGCTGCCAACTAACCTCTCATACCCCAAATCCTCACCATACACCAAGCATATTATTTTCTTCATTTAATACCAAGCAACAGTATTGGTACCTGGGATTTAATTCCTTGCAAAAAAAGACCATTTATCATTTAGACCACGAAGATTACATTGAACACCATCTTCACCTGCTTTTTAGAACAACATTACCATACGCGCTTTGAAACCCAGCAATTATAATGACAAGTTCCAACGTACTAAGTTAAGAAAGAATCCAAAAAGTAACAGGTAGCAAAACTCCAGCCCACATAAAACATACAGGTTGGTACCTGCTAAACCAGAAGTGTTTCAGTACAGTGAAAAATATACAATTTTACTGCCAACACCAACCCACAATCTACCTCATCAAATATTCTGATTCAAACATAATGTTCTTTCAGCCACAAAAGTGCCCTTCCATCAATGCAAATATTTCATGCAAAGTTTACTCTTCGCAGATTCTCCGGATTTTTAAAATGCGTTAAACTGGCCTCTGCTTTTGCAGCTTAGTAACTCAACAGCTTGCAGGAACTCGTAATGTCAATTTGCCCTTTGAGTCAAAGCATTTGGCGTCCACTGAATACCTAAGTGTTCTAAGCCCATGTGAAGTCAGATACGAACCAGCCTCTTACCAATTTGTAGCACGTTTCAGAACCAACATGGCATTGGGCCAAATTTTTAAAATATACTGAAGACAAAAGCTGCAACTCTTGTTTGAACTTTGAAACTAGCCGGATGGCACTGCAATTATCTTTTCTAGTTCTGTAAATTTCTACGACAACAATGACTTAAAATGTTATCAGTTTCAAGTGAACACTGACAGAAAATTCTGTTTTGTAATAAATACCATTCATAGGAAAATTGAACTTTCAATTGGTCTGGGTTCAACCCAGAAATAAATGGAAAATACTGCAGCAAACAGCTGCAAATTTATCATCACACTGGACTGGATTTTATGCTCCCTGCTGACCTGGTGGTTAACGGTATCAAGCGTAGCACTAAACCACAGATTCATAGGTGTGAAACATGTATTGAGTAAATTGATCTCAACCATGGCAATAGTTTGGACGTTACAGTTAGCCTCTAAGTCCCTGGTTGGGAAAATTGAGCCAGGATTCCCACATTCTCACAATTTAGCACCCACAGATTTACTCAAAACAAGTCAATCCCCAGAGATAAATGATTTTGAGCACCATGAATAACTGTCCAAGCACAGCTAAAAAAAAATCAATGCCCTTCAAATCTATTACTCCATGAACTGAAAACATATGAGCTGTTCAGTATAAAGCAATATGGACAATCATTCTCCTTCCATTTATTTTTATATTACTGTTAAAATACGATTAAATAATCGTCCATTTACCTAGCTTGATATGTGGTTGGGCATGTTCAACACAGACTATACTATACTCTGTATCCTTTCCATGAGTAATTTAATTGAGAGATTCTTAGAAGGACATATATGAAATCAGCAGAACCCCCCATCCCACACCCACAACTGAATTACTGCCTTAAAGACCCGATAAGATGTTCGTGCAAGTCTTCAGCAACTTGGATTTTGAATTAGTGTTTTTTTTAAAAATCACTACACAGTGAAGATTGTGATGGAGATGAAATTGAACGTTGCTTTATTTTACATTGCTAACAATGCAAAATAAAATAAAATCTGTGAGCATCACCGTAAAAACAAATTATTTGTAATCCACACTGTATCCCTCCTGCCCAAGGAAATGTGATGTTGAACCTGAATTGACATTTCAAAGCACTTCACAGGATTCACTGTACTTTTCTTTATCAATATCCTACACCTTATAATCATACAAACATAGTTGGAATAGTTATTGAGCCAAAAGAAAAGACTCCCCTAAATTGACAGGACCAGTATTCCTACTTTGAATAACCAATTAAATTATGATACAACTTCAAATAAGTTACAAAGGATTGACTAGAAAATTACCACTGATCCAAATCGAATGTATTGAATCAATTTAGCTGGTTCTTTGAGTTTATTTTGATGAGTTGATCAAAAATTGCCACCATTATTTGAGGTAGAAAGAATGTCCGTTTCCATTCCAAGTCTACTTTAACAACCTTTCAATTGTAAAATTATATTTTTTTAACAATAGCAACCTGCATTTATATAGCGTCCTTCACGTCGGATGGCATCTCAGAGGGCTTAAAAAAAATACTGGAGATTTTGGACAAGAACAATAACTAGAATGCATGTCAAATGTTAAAAATCGCCCATTTAACTGTGTCAACTATTGCTCTTGTCAGAATGAATGAAAAAAGCATGTGTGTAGATCACATCATGAAAGAAGCCAAAATTAAACCCAGGAAAGCCACTCTCTTCAGTGGTCAATTAAAAAGTTCTGTTTTTACTTCCTG